CCTCGGGTGCCGCCAGGGCGGAGCGCGCCTTCCAGCGGCCGACCGGGACTCCGACCCGGGACGCGGGCGGGGCGCTGCAGGCCGCGGCGGGCGGGGACGGTGGGCTGCGGGGCTGGGCGGACGCCTGCCTGGTGGGGATCGCGGCCCCGGGGGCGTCTCCCGCGCCCGCCCTCCCTGCCTCCCCGCGCCCCGAGAGCCGGCGGCCGGGCCCCAGGTGAGGCGCAGGTGAGGCCCGGGCGGAACGGCGATCCTGGCCCTGGAGGCCGCTGCCCTCTGGGAAAGGGCCGAGGGCCTGGCCGGCCTCGGGGCTGCGTGCGCGCCCAGCGCCAGGCGGAGCTTCCGGAAGGGTGGCTGAGCTCTCGGGCCTGGGAATCCCAGAAAATCGTTCCAGGGCGCAGACCTGCAAGGAGGCCCGGCCCGCTGTCTGGGGAGGTGTTGGCGATTACCTGGCTGAGGACCAGCCTGCAGCTCCCGGTCCCCCAAGCATCAGCTAGCGCTCGGGGCGCAAGGGCAGGGGCAGCCCAGGCCTGCCCTCGACTTACAGGCGCAAAAGAGGACAGCACCGCAGTTTTTCAGGGTGGGCAGTTGGGGGTTGCAGGCTTGTTAAATCTCCACTTCTGGCTGGCTAGGGACCGAATCCAGCCCACGCCCACTAAAGGTTGGCTGGAGAGGGGCCTTCTGGTGCCTGCCCCTTCGGACCGGGCTCTTCCTGGCATGCAGACCCTGGCCTCCCCCGACCCTGGGAGGTAAGAACACAAGCTGAACCCATTTGGGGGATAAGTGAATGGGGCGTTTCTGGAAGTTTGAGTGTTAGAAGAGGGTTTGAGCTTGACAGTGTTCTCTGCCGGCCTGGGTGTCTAGAGTGAGGATGCTCCGGTTCCCTCCTCCTCTTCCCAGTCTTGAGGTGCACCCTGGCGATCAGATCTTGGGGACCACAAGTGCAGGGAGAAACTTTGAGAACCCTGGTCTGCTGGCTTCAGACACACTTCTGTCTCAGTACAGTTCTGGGGAGTTTCCAGGGTGACTCCTCTCCTCTTTGATTGTTTTAACCCACAGGCTATCTCTGGAGTGTCTTGATTATTATTTTTTTCAACCTCATTCTTGAACTACATGGTCGAACAACTCAGAAATCTGCTCACTAGAAGTCCACTTAGAAGGTGTACAGGAGGTTCCTGGGGACAGGATGATCTCCCCTAGAAAGCTTTGCATGTGGCATAAAAGACACCTTGGTGCAGGATTCTACTCCTCCTTGAGCCCACTGTTGAAGGGAATATTGCTGTTTAAGGAATTTACTTCTTGGTTTAGACCCATCACAGCCTGAGGCTCAAGGGAATGTTTTGTAATTTCTGTAATTTTGCCCTGGCAGTTTGAGTAATGCCCACAGCACGGTGGACACAGGGTTCCCTCGCCTGTGAAAGAGCCCACCCCATCCTGTTGGTCCCCATGGGCATCTTTGAGGCAGTGTGGAGATCAGATGGGAAGATTGAGGCCTGATTGCCCTCGGAGAAGAAAGAGGGCATGGAAGCATGCTCACACACTGCAGGAAAAGTAAAAACACCTGAGGTTAAGTTCTTTACCCGGAGAAGTACCGTGGAAGGTGGGAGGTGAATCCTGTGGAACTCCTGATTGCTTGTGCCCTTGTCAGTGAATAAAGCCAAGGGGCGCCAGTCATTTGGGGCTTGATGTTGAAGGGAGAGATGAGCTCCCTGGCCTCCCGGGTTTTAACTTCTTTCTGTGCCTCTTTAGTTTCCCTCTTCGTCACCTCTTGGTCAGGTTCAGGCTCCTAGGGTGGTTCCTACAAGAAAGGTGACGTTATGGGGAAAATGGGGCTGTAAGACATACCAAATCTGAGAAATGGTAGCTGACTGACTCCCTCCCCCAGCACCTCAGCTGCAGACCCAGAAGAGTTGTGAATGCGCTGTGACTAAAGTACATTGCTCCATCTCAGGGTAAGTCCTTGTAGAATTTAATTTTGAGACATTACATTAATGATAGGTCTTTCCTGAAAAATATTCATGAACTGGAGCTTCAGTCTCTTGATGTGGGTGTCTCTGATGATCTCTGATTCCAGTAGTCGAAAACCTGTTTAAAAGCTGGCAGAGGATGCTTTGGAAGCGAGGAGCGGAGCAGCCAAGCCCTCACCCCTAAAGCCTGTTGGAATGTGAGCCTGGCCTGGAAGAGAATAGCAAGTAATTTCCATAGTCTTACATTTCAATTTCACTTTCTGAGCAGAGTTGCTTCTGAATGTGTTGCACCCTGCAGTTAGTTGTTGGTTCCACCGTTTGAATATGTCTGCTTCTAGGTGATCAGTCCCACCTTTTCCAGACAGAGCGTGCCGTATAAATACCACGTCCTGTGCTTGTCAGGATGGAAGCCCCAGGCTTGAGGTCAAGATCTCCTGCTTGGGAGCTCAGCAAGGGCCCACTCACCCCTGAGGTTTAGGGTGGCACAACCTCACTGGCACCATGACTGAAGGGGTGCTCTCTTTCTCTGGTTCATCAGCCTTGGGGTACTCTCTTACATCTGAATGGCACTGCACTCCAATTTTGGGGGTAGCAGCAGGAGGTTTGGAGCATTCTATGGAGAATTAACGGGTGTGCGGTACAACTGGCATTATGACTGTGTGCCACTACATTGTGCGCCCTCTCGACATGGGGGATCTCAAGCCTTTCCTGTAAAGGCCAGTTGTGTGTCCATCTTCCTAGTACAGTTCCCAGGCGGAAACCAGGGAATAACCACATGGGATACAAAGAGCATGTGACTGTCTGGGGCAACTTCTACGCTCGCTGGTTTAACACTTTCCCATGCAAAGGCTTTGTTAGAGTGGCTGTGGAAGATGCTTGGGGAAATAAGTTTTGAGCTGCCTCCATTGTGCAACTTTTTGTTCCAGGAGCACTGGTCTCGTCAGGAATGAAGCTGCCCATGAAGTCGCACTTACCCTGGATTTGCTAAGAGCTGTTCTTTTTCACGTGCAGAGAAGCGTCTGCAGACTCTATCCAGTTGGCTCCTCCCGATAGCCCTTGGAGGTAAAGAAAGCCTCTATTCTCCTCTCACAGAGAAGATGCAAGTGCAGAGGGGGCGCAAAGGGCTGGGGCAGGGGCAGTGTGTGCTCAGTATGGCACAGCACCCGAGGTTGGAACACTCATGGCGGAGGAAACTGAGGCCCAGGAAGCATGGGTAGCTTGTGCAAGGGCACCAGGGCCCCTGGATGTGGTGTAGCCCAGGGAGGCTGCTTCTCCATGGCCATGTGTGGTGCTTGTTGATGTCCCTGGTTTCTTAGACGTGTCATGTACAGTGCTTTCTTTCTTCCCAGGGTATAAAGGCGGCTGGAAGATAAAGCAGTGCTTCCCTGTGCGCCTGCCCCGTCCGCTAGGATGTTTCTCATGAATGCCCCTCCAGTGGTCACGCTGCAGTCCAGATGGGAGGCCTTCAGCCCGCCGGGGAGCTTTAGGTTTCCTGGGTGCTTCTCGGAGTCCAAAGAGGACGTTGCCAGAGCCTCGGTGAGTGCCAAGGTGCAGATGATCATCAGCACCCTGCAGCAGCACAACGAGGTGCCCCTGGGCATGAGCGCTGAGCGCCCTGCACAGAGAAGCCAGAAGGCAGAGAGGTGCCTCAACACCAGGCCGGCCACCAGCCCTTCCACGTGCAGAGAGCAGCCCCCTGCCTTTGCTGCCTGTGGCCTTGCTGCCCGCTCTGACCCCCCAGGGGAGGGAGAGGCTGCAGGCTTTGGCCCCCTGGTGCTGGACTCGGACAGCGATGATTCCGTGGACCGGGACATCGAGGAGGCCATCCAGGAGTACCTGAAGGCCAGGAGCGGAGGCACGCAGCCTGGATCGGGGGGTGCCCCGCCCGACAGGGTCTCAGCTGGGGGCGGCAGGTGCAAACTGGAGCTTCCCCACAGCAGCACCCCACCTGCCCTGGGTCCCCCCAAACTTGCCCCTGTCTCAGGCAGTGTCTCTGGCAGCTCTGTGGGGGCTGGGGAGGACCAGGGCTCCGCCTCCCCTGTCAGCGTGAGCAGTGAGGACTCCTTTGAACAGAGCATCCGGGTGGAGATTGAACAGTTTCTGCATGAGAAAAGACAACATGAAAACCCCAAATGTGACGCATTCATGGATAAAAGGCCAGACCCAAATGAAGACATAGCCAGAGCAACACTGAAATCCAACAAAGAGCCCCCCATCAAGGCGGCCCCTCGTCAGGATCTGAGGGGAACCTTGAAGGAGTTTGTTTTCCGCAAGCCTCCCCGAGTAGCGAAGATGAGCTTGCAGCCCAGGAGCCTCAGGCCTAAGGTCAGCCCAGAGCCAGAGACCGTGGGCAGCATGAGGCTGGCTGTCCCCAAGCCAGAGGCAGCACAGAGTAAAGGTGGGGTGCAGAGGAGCACAGGTGCTGGGCGGAGGGGCTGGCAGGTGAGGAGCCCAGCCCTGGTACATGAGGCATCAGACTCCAGCAGTGATGATGGCATTGAGGAGGCCATTCAGCTGTACCAGCTGGAAAAGACCCGGAAAGAGACCAGTGGGGATGCACTGCCGAGAACCCAGCTCAGAGAGGAGGTGTTGCCCGGGCCTCCCGCCAGCGGCACAAGCAGTGCTATGAAAAGTGCCTTGTCCGAGGCCCACCGGAGGGCACCAAGCAGGAAGAAGCCAGTGGCCCTGAAAGCTGCAGACCCTGGCCCGGGGGTCCTGGACCCGGACCCCTCCTTCAAGCTCGTGAAGGACGCCAAGGCCTCCGCACCTCCAGTAAACACCAGCACCAGGGCTGAGAGTGCAGAACGGGTGTCGTGCCGGGCAGATTCATCCACCGAGCTGATGTGCGCCGAAGCAATCCTAGACATTTCCAAAACCATCCTGCCGGCCCCTGTGGAGGACAGCAACGGGCCTCCCTCTGCCAGTCCACACTTGTGCTCCCCAGATGTGCCTTCCCGCTCCGACGGTGACAGCAGCTCCGTGGACAGCGATGACAGCATCGAGCAGGAAATCCGCACGTTTCTGGCCCTCAAGGCCCAGTCTGAGAGTGTGCTGGCCAGTGCCGAAAGCTGCCCGCAGCCCACGCAGGGCCTGCTGCTGCTGCCTGGCCCCAGCAGCCAGGCCAGTGATCCCAAGGCCCCTCCGTCTAATAAAACACCGGAACCGTCGCTGAGCTGTAAAAGGAAACGGAGAGGTGGCAGCAACCCCACAAGGCCATCCATACCCAAGAAAACGAGGGAGGTGAGAGAAAGCACCCAGGATGGTGACCGCAGCCAGGGCAGGGCTCAGCCTGGCCAGAACGTGCGGGACCCACCCAGCCAGAGGGAAGCTGGCGAGGTGCCAGGAAAGGGTGAGGCCAGAGCCCAACCCGTGTCCCCCAGGACGGTCGGGCTCAGCGATGCGGTCCTGTCTCAAGGCCCCAGGGCCACTGGGAAGGCAGAAGAGGGGCAGAGTGTGGATGAGAAGGGGAGTTCAGAGGACAAGAGCAGCTCACTGGACAGCGACGAGGACCTCGACACAGCCATCAGGGACCTGCTACGATCCAAGCGGAAGCTCAAGAAGAAGAGCAGGGATCCCCGGGCCGCCTGCAAGAAGAAAGTCCGGTTCAGCACCACCGAGACTCGGTTCCTGGATCGACTGGGGGGCCTCCCCGGACACTGGAAAGACAGAGGCCCACGGGTGCTGCGGAGCTGCCTGTCCAAGTCCAGCTGGAACAGCAGGGCCGGCCCGGGGAGGAGACCACCGGGCGTCCTGGGCAGCTCAGCGGAGATTATAAAGCCAGCCAGCCTGGGGGACGAGGATGCGGCCCTGGCCTTTCTGCAGAGGAGGGCCCCAGAGGGGACTCTGTCCTCCAGGGAGATGGGAGCCCGCGACTCTGCCTGCCCGGCCCGCAGCCCCAGCTCCCTGTCTGAGGACAGTTCAGTGGACAGTGACGACAGCATCGAACTGGAGATTCGGAAGTTTTTGGCAGAAAAGGCCAAGGAGTCAGTGAGCATTTCTGAAATTCAAGGAGTGGCCCCCACTGAGCTCAGAACAGGGGCCCCAGCCAGGCCGGAGGTGCTGTGCAGGAAAGAGGTGCTCCCAGCCCTGCATCACGGGATGTGCACACGCAGCCAGAGGGCCAGGGAGGCCCCCCAGCCTGCGGAAGGAGCGGGGGTGCAGGGCACAGCCAGCCTCTTCGTTCCAGGACGGAAGGGTGCCCCCCATGACGAGCACGCCCCCGGAGGCCCTGCTGCCCTGGGCAGATGTGAGCCCGCGCTGCCCAAGAGCACCAGCAGGACTGTCTCCACCAAAGCTTCCCCCACAAGTCGGAGAAATCTTTATGCTCACAAAGACCAGAGCCCTCGAGGGGCGGAGCCTGCGGCTGCAGAAAGTGTGTTCAGTCAGCTGCCCAGCTGTGCCAGAGCATCGGCTGATGCTGGAAGTGCCAGGGGAAGTTTTCACGTGAACCGTGGCAGCCAGAGCTTGCTGACCCCCAGCCCAGGACCCCAGGTTGACCTCTCTCTCCCCTGGAGTGACCTCGCCCACCAGAGCAGGCTGCCCAGCCCATGGGCACTGAACTCAGACACTCGAGGCTCAGCATGGACGGGGCCCCTCGGGGCTGAGAGAGAAAGGGCAGCTGAGCCGCAGGCCAGGGGCCCACCAGGCCTCTCCTCCGACCCCAGGAAGGGCCCGGCCTTTCCGGGCTTCTCTTCCCTGCTGTCCACCCAGCTTTTTCACTTCGGGAAGAGCGTTCCCTGGGGCGGCACACAGCCTGGGCTCTTCAGTGCCCCGCTGGGCCTGCCTCTGCAGGGACCCTCCTTCTCCGCCTTCAGGGAGACCCCCGCTGGCCACAGCCCCGTGTTTGGAAGCCCGCACCTGCTCACGAAGAAGGGTGGCAGCCACTGGCCCAGTAGGAAGGCCCAGGCCAGGCTTGGTTTGCAGAACAGGAAGAACTCAGGCTCGGAGGAGAACATTTTGGACCTGAGGTATCAACGCAGGGTCATCGACAGGGACAACGAGGACCAGGAGGCCTTGGGCAGTGATACTTCTGTGGAGGACGGCGGTGGCACCTCCGTGGTGAAGGGCAGAGGCCTCACGTTGTGATGGGTGTCCTGGTTCCAGTCACATTGGGGCAGCAGTGTGCGTGCATGCGTGCGTGTGTGCTATTCGAAGTCACGGAGGGAAAACTGGAGTCCTTTATATATAGATAGCCCTATACATATGTACACTATCATGAAATGGATGTTTTTATTTAACAGATGTGTCCCAGTATATATGGTTTTTGCGGCTTTTTGTAAGTTATTTAAAGTGCTGTAAAAATATTTTTTGAAAAATACTGTCGTTCGTTATCGTAACTGCGGTTTTCTGTGTTGGGCATACAAGTTCTAGATGAGCAAACTTTTGGTGGTTATGTCACCGCGAGGGCCAGAGACAACCTGGTCCTTGTGGGCAGATTGCTCGTGGAACCTACCCTGGAAGGTGGCAGGTGCCCTGTCCAGAAGCAGGGAGGTGGATGCCCGAGGTGCCCATCGGGAAGCTCCTAAGACGGCACTGAAGGACACCCAAGGGCCTGCAGCCAGCGCCCTTCCCCTGAAAACTGCAGTCACAACCTTGGAAAGCACAATGGCCAGTGAGCCCACTGCCTGTGTCTCTACCGTGTGGGAATCGGCGGAGATCCCAGTGGCACTCGCTCTGTAGCTGGGCCCACAGCCCGAGCTGGTCTTCAGTGTCCGGCTCATCCAGTCACTGGATGACTTCAGCATCCCAATAAACCTCTCTCCCCGAGACCCCCGTTTGTCTTTTCAGTTGAGGTTCTGAAAGGTAACAGCACACGTGCATCGTAACAGTCCTGTCCTCATTTTGTGCCCATGAGTGAGTAAGCACAGCTGCTGGGCGCTCGGTCCCCACTTGGCCACTGCTGACGGAAAGCCCAGTACTGAGGACGAGCCTCCCCAGGACCCCGGCCTAGCTGGGGGCCAGGCTTTCTGTGGCTGCCTCCTTGGGGCAGGCCCAGAAGGGCCCTTGCAGCCCCCAGGAGAGGTTGGAGTGCTGGCCCTTGTCTTTGGTGTTAAGGTCTCTGACTTCCTGGCCTTCCATTCTGGCCACTGATGGTCACAACCTCTACTTTGTGATTGTCACTCACCCTTGTTGCATTCCTTGTTGGGAGTTTAGCTGAGGTGCTGTCTACTTTGTAACTGAATTTGGTCAGTGGTCTCAGACGGGAGTGGGTTTTCTAGCCCTGTGCACCCCGGGGGATTCATTTCTCTGCCCAAACATGGACCCACACCCCCTGCTGTCCAAGTGCGCACCTGCTGGGTTGGAGGTGTGCGGAGCAGGACCTGCTGTTCCTTTCTGTCCTGAGCCGTCTCGATGTACTTGTGACAGCTTCGTTGTGGCATATTTGTTCACTTAAGTGCTTCTGGGGGAAAAAAGATGGTTCCATGTAATCCATGCTGTAACTTTAATTTTTTAAAGAGTGCTTTTAACCCTTGCCAAAAAAAAAGCTTGTTTTGTATATAAGAACTGTTTTTTTAAAAAATGAATAAATCCAGCACTCCCCACAAATCAGCCTATGTGGTCTGTCCACCGTGTCTATACCAGCAGGCTGGCTTCTGCCAGGTGCTAATACCGCAGGTCATGTGGCCCCCTGGTGACCACTGGCAAAGGGGGAGCCAAAACCAGAAACACAGCAAGCGGGGCATGCGCCCAGAGCCCCTCCCTGCCAGTGGGAGGCCACTCCTCCAGTCTCCCCCAGGGACCAGTTACCTGGTCCTCCCAAGTTGCTGGTGCTCTGCACCAAGGTCCCCGGAGCAGTGCAGACTGCAGCAGCTGCATTGATGGGACCTCCTGGTGGTCACTGTGCAGCTACCTGCAATGCCCTTGCGGGTGCCTCAGGTCAGTCTTTCCTGTCACCGGGAGGAGCGGCTTGTTTAAATGCTGACCTGATTGATGGCACTCCTGATAGTGGCTCAGTAGGTGACCTGTGGGACCCCGAACCTCTTTTTTTCTGTTCAGCAGTGACTCAGTCTCCCTCGGGGTGGGAAGCCGAGTGACAGCAAGTGGCTGTTGGAGGAAGGAGCGAATGTGAGACAGGTGTCAAAATGACATCCAGATTGGGGAAAACAGGAAAGGAGGCAATGGTGGTTCCAACACACCGACCACCCTTAGCACAAAATGGGGAGAGACCACATTTAGGGCTAAATTAGGGCGGAAGAGGCCCAATTTCAAACCAGACATCCAAGAAATTCTGAAGAAATCTAAAGTAGAAGAGGAAAATACTGGCGACCCTTTTGGATTTGATAGTGATGATGAGTCTCTCCCAGTTTCTTCAAAGAATTTAGCCCAGGGTGAGGGCTCCTACTCAGAGTCAAGTGAAGCAGTGCCACTGCAGGAAGCCACGTCAGTACTTGAAGCTAACGGCAGAACCGGGCCATGGTGGGGGAAGATGGCGTCGTGTCTGCTTGGAGCTCGCCTTTGGAGTCTGCTCTGCCTGGGAAAGAGAGGGCCACAGACTCCTGGAAGATGAGGCGAGCAGAAGTGGCTGTGCTAAATTAATGGCTATGGATAAAGTGGAGAACTTTGGTGAAGAACATGAAAACAATAGTTACCGTTTTCACAAAAATGCTGATGACAGTACTAAGGACCCCAGTGCAGAAACCACAGTGCCTTCTGGATACAAAGCTGATGAAATCAAGGAAACAAACGATACCTGGAACTCCTAGTTTGGGAAACGGTCAGAGTCCCCATCTGAAATATCTCCAGTCAGGGGATCTGTGAGAACTGGTTTGTAGGAGTGGGATAATGATTGAAGATAGCAGGTCAGAAGATATTTTAGGTTTGGGTAACAATCCTGTTTTGGAGATGAAGGATGAGGATTTAAAAAACTCGATTGGAAAATCTAGATGAAGCCATGGAGGATGACATGGTTCAAAGTGTTCTTAGGCCGAGCAACTGTAGGACCTACTATAGGGCCAACAAGGCAAAACCCTCCGAAGGAGCATCCAGTTTTGATAAGCTAATGGACAGCACCAATCAGGCCTTAGCCAAAGCAACCAGTCAGTCGAGTAAAGATGGCCTGAATCAGGCAAAGAAGGGCAGTGTCGGCTGCAGGACTGTCTTAGAGGGACTGTTGGCCGGACCAGAGATTATACTGTGTTACATCCATCTTGCTTGTCGGTCTGTAAAGTCACCATCCAGGACACTATGGAGCAAAGCATGGACGAGTTCACTGCATCCACTCCTGCAGACCTGGGAGAAGTTGGCTGCCTCAGAAAAAAAGCCGATATCACAACTTCTAAGACCACTGCTAGATTCCAGCCTAGTAATGTTAAATCCAAAAAGGATGTTAAACTTGAAATTTTTTGGTTTTGAAGATCATGATGAGACAGGAGGCGATGAAGGAGGCTCTGGAAGTTCTAATTACAAAATTAAGTATTTTGGTTTTGATGATCTCAGTGAAAGTGAAGATGATGACAATGATGACTGTCAAGTGGAAAGAAAGGCCAACAAAAAGCGAACTAAAACAGCTCCATCACCTTCTTTGCAGCCTCCTCCAGAAAGCAGTGATAATTCCCAGGACAGTCAGTCTAGTGCTAGTAACACAGAAAACTTGGATTTTGCAGAGGACTTGCCTGGTATGTCTGAAAGTGTGAAGAAGCCCATAAGTAAACAAGGAGTTAAAGGAAAGTACCAGAAAGATTTTTAGTGGCCCTAAATGGTCACCTACAAAAGCCATGTATAATCTAGACAATGGAACCATCCAGACTCGGCAGAACTACCTGGGCCACCAGTTGTAAAACCTCAGAATGTCACAATGAGGCTGTCTTCAAAGGAACCAAATCAAAAAGATGATGGGGTTTTTCAGGCTCCCACACCACCACTCAAAGTGATAAAAACAGTGACAATAGCTACTCAGCCCTACCACGATGTAGTTACTGCACTGAAATGCAGAAAAGAAGACAAAGAATTAGATACCGTTGTTCAGCACGTGAAGCACTTCAACGATGTGGTGGAATCTGGTGAGAATCAAGAGTTCACTGATGACACTGAGTACTTGTTAAGTGGCTTAAAGAGCACTCAGCCTCTGAACACACATTGCCTTAGTGTTCCTAGCTTGGCTACTAAATGTGCCACGCCCAGCTGCCTAATGTACCTGAGAGCACGTGGAATGTTTGCAAAGGTCTTTAAAACCTTGGATGATTCCCAGCACCACCAGAACCTGTCCCTCTGTACAGCTGCCCTCATATATATCCTGAGTCAGGACCGCTTGAACATGGATCTCGACAGAGCTAGCTTAGATCTCATGATCTGACTTCTGGAGCTGGAACGGGATGCATCATCAACTAAGCGGCTGAATGAGAAAGACATGAACACAATTAAAGAGAAAATCCGGAGACTCTGTGAAACTGTACACAATAAGCATCTTGATCTAGAAAACATAATGACTGGGCACTGAGCGATGGAGACATTGCTGTCCCTTACTTCTAAATGAGTAGGAGACTGGTTTAAAGAAGAACTTTGGCTTTTGGGAGGTCTGGATCATATTGTAGATAAAGTAAGAGTGTGTGGATCATTTAAGTAGAGGTGAGGATGAAGAAAAACGGGTAGCCTCATTATGGGGAGCAGAGAGATGTTTACGAGTTTTAGAAAGTGTAACTGCATAATCCAGAGAATCAAAGCTACTTGATAGCATATAAAGATTCACAACTCATTATTTCATCAGCTACAGCATTGCAGCACTGTGAGGAACTGATCCAGCAGTATAATCGCGCTGAGAACAGCATCTGGGTGGCCACCAGCAAGCCTCTGCCTCCCCAGAACGTGACCAGCCATGTGGGCAAGGCGGTGGAGGACTGCATGCGGGCTGTCACTGGGGTGCTGCTCAACCTCACCAACGACAGTGAGTGAGGCAGCACCAAAACAGGGGAACAGGATGGCCTCATTGGCACTGCCGTGAACTGTGTGCTGCAGGTCCCGAAGTACCTACCTCAGGGGCAGAGATTCGACCTTCGGGTGCTGGGCTTGGGTCTACTGATAAATCAAGTGGAGTACAGCGCTCGGAACCGGCACTGCCTCGTCAGCATGGAAACGTCCTGGTGCTTTGATTCTTCCTTCTGCAGCGGAGAGGGAGATCATAGCTTATGGGTAGCTGGGCAAGTTCATGCCGTGCAGGCTTTAGTGCAGCTATTCCTGGAGCGAGAGCGAGCAGCCCAGTTGGCAGAAAGTAAAACAGATGAGTTGATCAAAGATGCACCCACCACTCAGCATGATAAGAGTGGAGAGTGACAGGAGACCAGTGGGGAGATACAGTGGGTGTCAACTGAGAAGACAGAGCAGAAGAGAGACACGAGGAGGAGGAGGAGGACGATGAAGAGCTTGACCTCAGTAAAGCCCTGCAGCACCCTGGCAAGCACATGGAGGACTGCATGGTGGCCTCCTACACAGCGCTGCTTCTCAACTGTCTCTGCCAGGAAAGCCCAATCAATGTCAGCACAGTGCGGGCATACCTGCCAGAAGGAGACTTCTCCATAATGACGGGGACACTCAAGAAGTTCCTAAGCTTCATGAACCTTACTTGTGCTGTTGGGACGACGGGCCAGAAGTCCATCTCCAGAGTGATTGAGTATCTGGAACAGTGCTAGCTGCTTGACCTTTGCTTCAGGTGCTCGGGAGTGCTGGAGCTACCCTTAGACAAAGAAAAATCATGAGGTCCTTGAAGAGAAATCAAGAGCATTCATCAGGATTTTACGACCACCTGATTTCTTTGTCGTGCAGCCTGCATTTGCTCAGTGACAGTTACTACGTCAATCCACAACTATCAAAAATGAGGGAAAAGCTTCAGGCTGCTCACAACCCATGCGGTATTGAAATACACTTCCTGGCAGAGTCTACCCCTTCCCCCGTGTCCTTGCTTCACTCCAGGCAGGTCTGAGGGGTGACTTCGTGCTGCTGTTAGTGCAACTGCTGTGTGTGGAGTCACTGTTGTCGCGCTGGCCAAGGCAGGGCAGCTCAGCGATGAGTGTCAGAGGTTCTGAGCTCATTTAGATAGCAGCTTAGTTCCTTTTTCAGGCTCATTGGCTTTTGCTTTTTTGCTGAATGATTCCAATCGTAAATAAAGCTTTTAATAATTTTGTGAATTTTTGGTTGTTGTTCCCTGAACTACTGTCTATATTTAAAATTAGATGGAATCCAAAGACATAAGGAATTAATAGTATATTTTTTTATTCTTGATTAGGTTTGGGTGAACTATTTTTCTCTTTGAGACCATGACCATATTCAATATCATACTGCAATGTGTCATAGCTTAGATGCAAGAAAACAAATAGCAGTTGGAGGGACTATTCTGTAAGATGATGTGCACTGTTTTAATGGATTAGCAAAATAGACAAACCCAGGGTAGTTTACACTTAATGCTAGGGAGGCTCTTGAGACAGTGTGAGGTTTTGAGGGAGGATTTCTAGATATATCTTCTGATGTTCCGTACAATAAATGTAAGGAAGCTAAAACTCCAATGTGGAATTCACGTTTCCAGATAACATGTATATTCTTCTGTAGTGACAAGATCAATTGAATAAACGCAAAGCCTTAAAATTGCTGATTTACAGATCATTTTTTTATACAACAGTTGTTTTTGGAAAACAGTTGTGGAAAACACAGAACCACTTTTTGTGAATTTAATTTCAAAGCATTGCAAATTTTTCTTGTATTGTTCAGACCACTGGTTACACTTTCCTTTTTTTTAATTGATTGGGCCTGAGGACAGGCTTTCCAGAGATCTCTTTCATTGATATTTTTAATTACCTTTCAGTAGTGACATGTTTCTCCACTGGATTTGTAAAACTTGAAGCCATAAAATATTACTTTGGTATGTATTGGAGAAAATAGCTAAAAGTCTAATTTTTACCCATTTAGACTCTGTTATATTTCCTTGTATAAAGTGACAAACTGGGGCTCTTGTATCAGTGCCAGCTGTAATTTTTATTTTTTTTTTAACTTTAAACAGATTTTTATTACACAAAGGTTGTCACATAATTGGCTTTCTCCGCTGTAATGTTTTTTAACACAGTGGCTGCCTTCTATTGTCTTCCTATTTTTGATAATGCAGATTGTTGGGAACTCTATAAGGAAGTAACTGATCCCAGGCAAACAGTTTTCTTCTTCCCTCTACCCTCCTGACCCCTACCCATCACCTTTGAGAACACAGTATGCCAGTGTAACGTGGGAGACTGGGATTGTTATTTGCCCTGAGTAGAAAAGCTAACTTAGCGAACTTTACAGAGCATATTGGTAAATGATATCTGTAAGATTAAATTAGTTAGATATATTTTAGTTATTTTTAAATGCATTGATATTTATTAATCATTGCATTTAGGAAAGAGAACAAATTTTTGGTAAAACTGACTTGCGGCAGGTGCTAAGGACTCTGACAACATTTGGGTGAGATCATTCAGGGCGAACTACATTTTTCTGTTACACTGGTAATCATTTGAAAATTGATTTACCTCAGTGTTTAACAGTTTTTTTGTTTTGTTTTTAAATAATAACTGATTGTCAAGCACTGATAGAGATGCAGATTTGGGGGTGTGGGGAGGGGTGAGGGAGACCCCACCTCACCAATTGGAGTGCATTTGTGTGTTTTAACCCTCAGAGAACTCTGCATTTTAGGGTACTTGAGGCTGACTTGCAAATTAACTGAAGTTTTAAAGTAACCTTTTTTCCACTGTAAATATTTCTGTAAATACTACCAATCGGAAATTAGAACATTAGAGTACTTTTCTGAATCCGATCCTATTTTTTTTAATTTTATACAGTATTTCTCAGCTGTGATCTTTGGGGCAAAAGCCATCGGCAGGAAAAAAATAGTTTGTACCAGTTTCATGAAGTATGTCTTTGGGTTTTTGTAAATAATTTTAACTCACATAAAATGGCCACTTCCATTATAAAATATATATATATATTTTGTTATATTTTATTTTGTAATTATATTATATTTTAATATAATATTTTATATAATATATCTATATCTCCTTCAGGGTCAGTGGACAGGATTGTGTGCGATCATTGTTTTCACGAACTGGATGTAAACCCAGCTGCACTGGCATGCTCATCCGTGGCACCGCCCAGCTGCCACGTGGCCTGAGAGTGTTTGTTTCTGCACCCTAACACTAGGTCAGCTTGGCCAGTGCTGACACCTCTGGTGTGGGTTAAGGCCAAAGCCAAGGTCAGCTGTGTCCAGCTGTGAGGGGGGTTTGACGACATCTGTGTTTGCAGCCCTCTCCTGGCACCTCTGCCAGTCTGATGGGGAGGTTAGTGTAACCGTAGCGCAGCACCCGAATAGATGTGCGCCCACTCTGTAGAACTAGTCCTCTCTGCCTGTGCTATCAAGTCAAGCTCTTTGCAAGGTTTTCACTGCTATGACCTAGAGTGAGTCAGGAGGCCTCACTTCCAGGAAGGGCAGCTGGAGCTCCATTTCATTTAATGCCAAGAATAGGGAGGAGGCAGCCTGATTCTAAGGTTTCTGGTCCTCTGGGCTGGGTCTTCCTGGGGCAAGGAGGTCTTCCTTTGGGGACCTCACCTGCTCACTCAGACAGCAGGTTTTCCCATGTGAGATTTATTTGCATTGGAAAATAAGACAACAATTTAAGTATCATGGGGCCAGGGATTTAGCTCAGTGGTGCCGTGCCTGCCTCGAAAGCACAAGGTCCTGAGTTCAATCTCCAGTACCAAAACAAAAGTATCTTATCTGCTCATAGGAAAACAAAAGGTACTATGCCCCTGATCTCCATCCCTTACCTCCTATTAATGGAAAGCAGTGTTTCAAGGGAAAAAAAAGCCAGCACAAAACCCACCAGGCACCACCGGGATGCGAATCACAACTAGGTTTATACCCAATGTGGCTGGGTGTGTGTTGTGTGTGTGTGTCTGTGTTGAGGGGTGGCTATTCCATTATTTGCAAAATCCAAGTGAAAGAAAAAGGCCAAACAAAGGCCCATTCACACTCAGAGTGGAGCAGTGTGCAGAAATTGCCACATCTTTGCTTTGCTGAGATGTCTGTGAAAACTGATTCGTCACTCTAAACGTGTCCCCCACCATTTTTGGGAGGGATTTAAGATTATGAAAACATAAGAGAGGGGTAAGAGGAATGATCACAGATTCCCTTTTTCTTTTCTTAGCCATCTGTTTTGTAGACGATTGACACAAGCAAAGCACACTCTTGGGGCCCTCAATTAGATTGGTTTATGTAAACTCTTTTGTATTTTTTTTCTCAAAGATTTCAGGTTGGAAATATGTTAAAAAGATGAAATTTGATCACTGCAGTTCCTCCTTGACTGAAGAAATTTAGGGCTCCATCTCTAGGGCCAAGGGCTGGAAGCCTTGAGCTTCCCCGCAGCACATCCCCAAGGAGGGTTCCACCAGGCCTGCTGCAGCGCACTTCCTCTGGAGCCTGGTTTCCCCAAATGTTAAATGAAGCTGCACCATTTAAGGTTTTCCCCGGGTGTAAAGATCAGGTGAGATGAAGTCAAAGCCCCCTGAAAACTGTAAGATGCAGAGAAATGGAGGGGAGAGGGAGGACACGGACACGCAGGACCTGAGCGGCTACTGCATTTGGGGGAAGATGGACATTGTTATGCTTTGAATGCAACCCCGAGTTCCAGTGCTGGAAATGTGGTCCGCAATTCATCTGTTAGAGGGTCTGGAGGTGGAGCCTGAGGGCCTGAGATTGTTGAAGGTATGGTCCCAGGATAGCACAGTGGTTTCATAAGGAGGGGCAGGAAGCCCCAGTCTAGCATGTTTGCCCAGCCCCACCTGCAGTGCCGTCCACCATGCCAGGATGCAGCAGGAAGGCTTGGCAGGTGCTGAGTGGAGGCCAGCACCAGCCTCAGGGACCTCCAGCCTCCAGCAGTATGAACCAAATCAACCTCTTATAAATTACCCAACCTGAGTATTGTGAATTAACACAGAAATATTTGGGGTTTTTGTCTTTCCAGACTCTAGATTCCTATGGAGCCTAACTTTGCATTCATTTGGCAGTGGCGGGTACAGAAATAGCATTCTATTGGCCATGACCAATGAAAGAGTTTCAGCGCGCCACTGCGGTGCCAGCATCACGAACACCCAGCAAGTCTGTGCCGAGCTCAGCATCCAGGTGGCCACGCATCTTACTTGCAGATGGGTCCTCCCGGGCCGGCCCCTGCTGGTGCCTCAGCCTGGAACTGGGTTTTCCACCCAGTCCAGTGGGTCCCTGGGACCACCACGTTGCCGCAGTGACAGTGACTCTGTCTCCTCATGCAGGACAAGTGCTCAGCTGTTCCCAGTTGGAGGAAAAACAGACACCTGCCCGATGGCACTGCTGGACCTACAGCTGCCAGCTTACTTCTCAGAACCAGTGTAGGAGGAGGAGACCATTCTTTTCAGCACGGCAGACACCGGGTGGATGAGCCCTTTTTTCCTCTTATTTCAGGGAAGCTAAACACAGAAGGGCCACCAGCATTTTGATATTTTTAGGGATTGTAGGAACTTTTTCTGCAGCTTGATGTGTGGACTGCTGGTTTTCCAGCTCAAAAGAAAGACATTAGATAGATCCTGGCTTCAGGCTCAGCTCTGAATCTTTTTTATTAGCTCTATTGATTTTCTCTGGAAACCACTGGACATTTAAAAATGCTGCCAAATGTTTACTTGTGTGTATTAATGGCAGCAGTAGGTTTATACTGAAGAAATAACCAGTTATGAGGGTTAATTTCTTCCCTAATTCATAAGTGGGTAGAATCCCTGGAGAAAAATCTCTACACAAAATGTTATCGACAGCAAAGAAGAATGATTTCTTTTTTTCTAGTTTCAGTTCTTTCCAAATTTCCTATAATGAGCACACCCTACTCTTATGGAGTTAAAAATATATATATAAAGGATGTGTCCTGTTACAGAAAGATTTTTTCTTATTGATGACCTCGTGGGTCTTGGCCCACATTGACTCAGGACTACAGGACTCGGGACTCGGGACTCAACTTAATGGAGTTATTACCCCACCTACGAAAATTATTAGCTACTCCTTGCCTGCTTTCCTTCAGCCTTTTATCGATAGTGTAAAATAAACACAGATGACGCCCTCCACATACACGTCATCAGGAGAACAGCATGAGTCAGCCTCCTGCACTGCCGCTGTCCCCACCCGAGATCAGTGGCTGGGGGACGTGTCACTTGTCACCTGTCACATCCCTCTGTACCATGAAGGGATCACAGGCAGAGTCACCTTGAGCTCTGTGACACGGTACCTGCTCTCCCTGTCCCGCAGTGACATGGCATCCCAGTGGGGCACCCCACGCCTCTGAGGGGGCCCTGCAGCTCAGTGCAGATTCCAGCCCGGGGGCCACTGATCACATGCAGTCGTGGCTCCCAGAGAAGACGCAGGCTGGGTGACCATGCAGCCCTTGCTTTTAGGCCTCAGTCACAGGCCTGGGACGCAAATGTCGGGACAGCTGGACACTCAGGCCATTGCAACACTTTTAAAAGCATAACATCACAGCCCATTTTTTTGCATATTGTTCTATTCCAGGGAGAAAAAATATTTTCAGACAATGAAGTGAAATTTGTACCTTTACAACTGGGCAAAGCATCAAGCCACAGGGTGGCAGCTGGAGGAGAGGACTCCGGGGAAGGGGCTCTCGCTCCCCCTTAGTCACAGATGGATGGTCTACTGACGTTGTAACTGGGGTGGAAGTTGAGCCTGTCACAGGGGGTGATGTAGTTGTCGGGCCCTGTCACCAGGCTGTTCTCCATGCAGACATTGAGCGTATTATCCTGGAACATTCCAGTAGCTGAGAGCTGTCTGGAAAACTTACTTGAATTTGTATAAAATACTTTCTGGAAGAGAAAGGAAACACTAGGACTAACAATGCATGATAATACTCTTGAACAGCAGCTGGGTACACTGGGAAAAAGAATTTTCAATGAAAAATAGATGGTCTCCATTCTTACGACACTAAGGAGCCAGGGTGGCAAGATGGCCATCCCCAAGCATCCCAACTGATGCCCTCTGTAGGAGAGATTATTCACAGTGCCTTCTCTCCCCATTCCAAGGACAGAAGGGAAGCTACAGGGCCAGCTGGGCGTGGCATTTCCACACCTGAGCGTGAGGATGAGCACTAACCTGGGGTCAGGCCTGGAGTGACCCTGGGGTCTACTTTTCCTAGCTGTGCCTTCTTGGAAAATTACTAAACCTCTCTGAACTTGAATGTTATCTTCTGTGGAATAAAAGTAGTGTCTTCACCCACGGGTATATTAGTCAGCTGTGCTATAATCTAACAAAGTACTGGAGATAATTAACTTATAAAGAGAAAAGGGTTATTTTGGGTCACGTGTCTGGAATGCCCATCCAAGAGCAGGCTCCATGCCCCACTGCTCTATGCCTCTGTTGGGGGTGCCGGGTGGCCCTGCTGGGGAGGATGTGCTAGAACCGAGACATGGATGGGGGGTGGGGATTCCTGTAAACCATAGCAGTGGGTTTCAGTATCAACTGTGACTTGAAAGCATCACAAAAAGTTCTGATGCCTGAAGGCCACCAGTCCATGGGTCTGGAAAGGAGCTGCCCTACAGGGGCTGAGTCTTGCTGAGCTCTCGCCAAGTGGCGTGTGGGAGGCCACCGTGTGTGTGGGGCCCAAGGTAGGAATTATTCCCACAAACAGCATCCGAGGTGACCCTGACACTTCTGACGCAAGTGGTGACCTCTGCCAGGTGTTCTGCGCCAGGCACGTGACCTCTGCTCATGCCACCCTTGTGTCAAGATCACCTGATGTTTTGTCTCCTTGGCAGGAAGCAAGAACAAAGAGAAATGGCTTCAGTGCATTTTTTTTCAGAAGAAAATTTAGATCTACAGAAATATTAAGCAGAAAGGACAGAATTCCCAAACTACGTCCCCGCCACAGTAGTCTCCTCTATAATGTGTGTCGCCATCTGTCAAACTGAGCTGACGCTGACGCTTGAATTACTACCCAGAGCCCATGACGCACCTTGGGGCTCCCCAGAGGCGCTGGGCATTGTGGATCTTAAGGAATGCACAGTGACATGAAGCCATCGTCCCTGCAGTTTCAAAAGATGCAAAGCACTTTTATTTACTTTTTTTTTCAGTGAGCAGCTCCTAAAGAAAGTTTAACTCAGAGAGAAGGTGGTAATCATTTGCCTCAAAGCTGGTGACCTTAGGGTAAGAGAAATGGTTGTGCACGAGTGTGAAGGTCCTGTGTGTGAGGACTGTGTGAATATGTGAAAGCAGTGTCCACATGTGACGGGTGTGTGTGGTTGTGTCCATGGAAGTGAGACTTGTGGAGAAGCGAGTCCACATGCACTTTCCTCATTCCTTAGAACACTACTTCTACATGCATTTGTTCATCCCTTCCTGCTCTGCCCTGTTTCAACACTATGGGAGATGCCTCCCCCTCGTGACTTGGGAATTGGGGTCCTCACACCACCATCCCCTGCCTTCACGATGCTGCCCTTTCCACAGCTCCAGGGCTCGGCCTCTTCCTGTGCCACCCGCTTCCCACGTACCGGCATCTCGTGCACGCTGGGTGCTCTGCTCCCGTAAACCTGGTTGCTGGTCCTGTACACTGAGGCGGCCTCCTTGACTCTGGGGAGGAGAAATACACACACTCTCCCACCCATTCATTCTAGGTCTGACCAAGCCACAGCCCTTAAGTACTTGGCCCATGGAGCCCTGCTAGCGCTGTCCCCCAGGAGAGTGACTGCCCAGGCTGGTGGCGCAGCACACATGCAGGCTCCCATTCCATGCAGGCTGACCGCCCTGTGCTGGCAGGCCCGCCCTCCAAGCCTCCTCTGCTGCCGGGTGGCTCTGCTCGGTCCAAGGCAGGCCAATACCCTAACGAGTGCCCGGGGTGAATGTGCAATCCTCAGCCACCACAGGGCCTTGGCACAGGCTGCCACTCCTTGGGGAGGTAAGTTACACTGTCAGGAGTCACTGCCCGGCTTCCAGACCCTGCTATCCAATAGGGCCCTCTACATCTGAGTGCCCGCATGGCGAGGCCAGACTTGTACCAATGCCGAAGAAGAAGAAACCGTGGCTGCGAGTTGTGATACCTCCATCGCCTGCCATAGGGCAGTTCCGGTAGGCGGGCTGTGGGCACCAATACAGGAGGCCAGGGTGGGAAGAGGGGGCTCACCCTGGCCACGAGGCAGTGGAGCTGGGAGCAGAACTGGGCCGGGGACTTGGGGTTTCCCCACTCCTGACCCCCGCCCATGACAGCCCACACACGCGAGGCAGCTCCGGAGGGCTTCCGTGGCTCACTGGTGGTAAGGACACTGAGGTCCCGGGCTGACCTGGAGCCAGGAACTTGGGGGAGGGGGGCTCTTCTCCATGGACGCCCGATCACCCTATCTTGCTCACCTGTAGCCTCGAAACCACCCTGGGTTGTTGAACCGGACGGGCAGGTGCTCGCTCACGCGGTAGTAGTCGCTTGTCTTCTCCGGGGGGGCCTCGGCCTTGGCCGCCGCAGGCTCCGCGAACTCCTGGGGGTTTTCCTCTGACATTTGGCCGCTGCAGGAAACCAGCTCTGCGCACCAAGGCTGTGGCGCGGCGTCTCGGTGCTAGGCGACAGTCACGTGACTGAGGGGGGTTGGTGCCCAGTTCTTAAAGGCACAGCTCCAAGGGACGAAGCCCCTCCCCTGGAAGGCCTAGAACCTTCGGGGCGAATGAATGAGGAGGGTTGGGCAGGTCCGGACGACGAGGAGTTACTACGAGGACTGTCCTGCGGAAAGAACCCGAGCCCTCAGCACATTGCGGGGACCCTGGGCTGGCTGCAGGATTGTCCCAAAAGACAGCAGGGAGCGACCGCGGGCAAATGCAAGCCAAGGCCCTGGGTCCAGAATAGGAAACTGAGGGGCTGCAGTGCCAGCCGCAGCCTGGCGAGCAAGGATCCCACGCTGGCCGTGGACACCGCCAGGGACGCTCTTAGACCCCGCCTTCTTGGGGGTGGGCGGGGGCCTGGGGCGGGGCGGGGACTGGGCGGGGCCTCGGCGGGGCGGGCCTGGTCCTCCCGGCCTGCAGGCGGCGTTGTGGGCCCGCGCGCGGCGGCGGCGACTCTGGGCCGGCGGAAAGGAGCCGTCGCTCGGCGTCCGTCCACGCGCCCGCAATGGCGCCCTCCGCGTCCTCGCTACCCCGGCTGCTGAACGCTGGTGAGCGGCCTTGGGCCCCGGGCAGGTCGGGGAGGGTGGGAAGCGGGGAGGGCGCGGCCCACCAGGCTCTGTCTCCGCAGGTTTCCGGCCCGGCTTTCTGCGGACGGCGGCCCCGGGCCGGGCGCGGCCCAGCAGCAGGGCTCTCGGAGGCGCCGCGGTCCCCGCTGTGGGCGAGCCAGAGAGCGGCGGCGGTAACGGGGCCAGGGGGCGGCAGGCGGGGCGCCCCGGGGCCTGCCCTGGAGCCACACCCGCGGCTGTTCGCGTGGGCTTCCGGACGCAGCTCCAGCCAGCGCCTCTGGGTTAGGGTGGGGGACAGCTGCCGTCAGGGCATCACCCCAGGCCTGGCGCTGGATCCCTGGCAGGGCATTTCCGGCCGGACCCCTGAGTGGGGTGCCATGCCCGCTGGCCGTGAGGGCCAGACAGAAGGGCACCGGGGCATGGGACCGACACAGTTTGCCCAGGAGCAAAGCCCCCATCAGAATCTAGCTGCAGCCCTCAGTTTGCTGTGGCTTCCATGTCTTGCCTCGGCGGTGGGCAGCCTCTGCTGCTGCACTGCTGCCCTCCTCAGTTCCGTGATGGGAGACACTTGGCCTCGGCGTGGGCAGGTGGTAGCGGACCACAGCCTCCTTCCTCTCTTCCCTGCCCTAGATTACCGGGTGAAACTTCTAGAGGAGCCCCTGCGGCACTCCGACTTCTTCAAGGTCAAGGAGCTGTTTTCCGTGAAAAGCCTCTTCAATGCCCATGTGCACCTGGGACATAAAGCTGGCTGTCGGCACAGGTAGCCTGATGTGTCCCAGTGGTAGTTCCCAGAGGAGAGAGTCCTGCCTTGATCTGAGACCCTGTTAGTCTTCGGTTGTCGCAAGGAGCATTTATTCTCCTGAGTGGCTGGGCACGAGGCTAGCAGCCCATCAGATCTGCCAGCGGGTGAAGGCTCCCCAGATTCAGGCAGGCCAGAGAGGGTGAAGAGCTATGCGCTCCCCCGTACTGCTTCCTGCAGTGCCTTCTAGGCTGTGGGCAGCAGCAGTGCCTGGTCAGATGTTTCCGTGTGGTCACTGCTGCAGGAAGAATGGGTTAGAGGGGTAATGGGAGACCAGTGAAGGAGGTGGCTGTGGACCAGGGAGGTGATGGGGCGGAAGAGGAGGCAGAACAGCAGGGACAGAGTGAGTGGGATCAGGGTGGGCATCAGCAACCACACAGAGCATGGTGGAGGCGCTGGTGCAATTTACAGACACGATAAGATTGAGGAGAGACCTAGGGACCTCAGGTGTGAGTGTTGGGAGATTTGGCCAGCCAGTGGGGAAGTCACGCAGAGCCAGTGCCTGCTGTTTGCATCATGTGTGGACATCCAGATTTTCACGTAGGGTCAGCCCTGTTCAGCTCCCCACTGGTCAAGGTGGAGGCTGGGAGGTCAGGGGGCCAATGGAGTGGACCTCACGGACCCTAACCGCATTTGCCATGGTGGGGTCCCTGGCAGGTTTATGGAGCCGTACATCTTTGGGTGCCGCCTGGGCCAGGACATCATTGACCTCGAGCAGACCGCCTCGCACCTCCAGCTGGCCTTGAACTTCATTGCCCACACGGCCTACCGAAATGGCATCATCCTGTTCGTGAGCCGAAACCGGCAGTTCTCACACCTGATTGAGAGCATGGCCCAGGACTGTGGCGAGTATGCGCACACTCGCTACTTCAAGGGCGGCCTGCTGACCAATGCCCCGCTGCTCTTCGGCCCCACAGTCCGCCTGCCAGACCTCATCATCTTTGTGCACACGCTCAACAATGTCTTTGAGCCCCACGTGGCTATAAGAGATGCGGCCAAGATGAACATCCCCACGGTTGGCGTCGTGGATACCAACTGCAACCCGTGTCTCATCACCTACCCCATCCCCGGTAACGACGACTCTCCATCATCAGTCCAACTCTTCTGCAGGCTCTTCCAGACCACCATCACCCGGGCCAAGGAGAAGCGCAGGCAGATGGAGGCCCTGCTTCAGCTGCAGTACCCAAACAGGGCTGTGGGGCAGCCAGACCCCCTTCCCAAGCAGCTGTGAGCTATTCCTGCTCCCCTGCAAGAGAGCCAGGCCTGCCCATCCTTGTCCTTTGCCCAGTCTGGGCCCCATCAGCATTCTCCCTCCTTAGAGGCCTGGGGGACTTTGCTACCAGGGACAGCACCCAGCATGTTGTCACGGTGTAGCCATCCAGGGGCTGAGCAGCCTGGGGCTCATCTGCCTCTTCTCCGTGGGGGACAGACACAGAAGCGGACTCTGGCTGCAGTTGGGATTTGAGCCTAGCACCTCAATTGCTGTAAAATGTGTTTCACCCTGGCACCTGAGAAGTCCTCACTTTAGGGCTGGGGTGGAGCTCAGTGGTAGAGTGCTTTCTGGCATGCACAGGGCCCTGGGTTCAGTCCCCAGCACTGCCCCTGCCCCAGAGTCCTTTAAAAATATCTCATCCTCAGAAGTCCTCACTTCTGTCTTGACATTGGAGCTTTGTTTGGAAGGTTCAGGTGCCAGCTGTTTTCTTCTCAACCAAGACGCCCTGGATACGTTCCTGAGCCGGTGTGGAGGCTGTTGTATAATGTGCATCAGGAGCCATGGGACAGCTGCCTGCTGGAGTGGGGCAGGCTGGTGAGACAGGTAGCAGAACTCCAGCAGAAATAAAACATGAATCTGGGTACACTGTGGGACAGCTGCCTGCTGGAGTGGGGCAGGCTGGTGAGACAGGTAGCAGAACTCCAGCAGAAATAAAACATGAATCTGGGTACACTGTGGGACAGCTGCCTGCTGGAGTGGGGCAGGCTGGTGAGACAGGTAGCAGAACTCCAGCAGAAATAAAACATGAATCTGGGTACACTGTGCCTTGAGCTCTTAGTTCTTTGGCGTGGTGTTCGTAATAGTCAGTGGGGCACTGTCTAGTTGTGTGTCCCCTCAGGCTGCATGTATGAGTGGGTGGGCCGAAGTACCAGCTGTCCCCTGAACTCCTATCTACCTCTTGAGCCCCATGTGGAACCCACAGGCCAGGCTGGGCAGCAGTGGCATAGCCTTCGTCCCCTGAAGTATAGCTGGGTGGCTGTGCCGCTGAAGAAAGACAGGTGCTTGCTGCCTCCTGTGTCCCCCCTTGCAGTGACACAGCTGGGGGACTGGGATGCACTGTGGTGCTGTCAAGGCCCCTGTAGTTCCCAGGCTTTTTATCCCATGCAGAACTGGCTGTCCTGGGGGAGTCGGGCAGCAGGTCCCGTGAGCTGTGGACAGGGTACCCTGCCAGCAGCTCCCAGTTGGTATCTGGCTTTTCCCTCGGGGGTTGTTTCCACACCGGGCCACCCAGGACTCTCAGCAGGGAGGCGGCCGTGCTCCCCAAAGACGGTATTGCCTGCCCCGCTGGGGTCCTGGGCCTGCCCATCCCGCTGGACAGGGGTCCTCCGGAGGGCCAGAGATGTGGGAGGGTCCATGTGCGTCTCCAACCCTGCAGCCCAAGCCCCAGGCACTGTGTGTGTGTCCCCAGGCCTCCCAGCCTCCCGAGGCCTGGCTGGTCCTGCCCAGGGCGCACAGCGAGGGGGCTCTGGGGACAAAGGCTCCGCCTGCCCAGGCTGAGTCCCCTGTAGACTCCAGGAGGACCCCCCTCACAGCCTCTGTCCCCCCAGCCTCCTGTGCACACACCCTCCTGCCGTGACACCTGTCCCCTGCTCATCCTGGGACTCAGGACCCCAGGCCCCTGGCGTTGCTGCAGATGACAAGTCGCCCCTTCCGCGGCTCGTGGAGGAGCTTGGTGAGCCCAGGCCGTGTTTGGAGGAAGCCCAGGGGCTCTAGCTCTGAGTGCAGAGCGGAGCGGGCACAGCCCCTGGCAGGAGGAGCCGTGCCGGGCCTGGCGCAGGGTCCTGTCTGCTGTGGAGCAGCCCTGGCATGCCCAGCAGAAGCCTGGCCCCGCGTTCTCTCCATGCTGCCACCTTCGGCCCCAGATGTCCTGCACCATCTCTGGAAGCTGCTCACCAGACCCTTAGAGGCACCTGTGTGCCACACGCCAGGCATCAGGCAAGCGGCTGGGCTGGGAGCCTGAGCATAGCAGGCAGGTGCAGCCTCAGTCTGGTGCCTGGTCGGTCACAGCAGCTGGACCATCAGTCACAGGCCTGAGGCTGCCCGGGAGTCACTGCACGCAGCAGCTGCGCACCTACACCCACGCCACCTAGAAGAGGGCTGGGGAGAGCCTCCAGGAGGGATGCCGGGCGAGACCTGCAGGTGACAGCCTGGACAAGGACCCCCTGGTCTTTCCCAGGGCGCTGCCCAGGCCTCTGGTGGCCACACTAAGTTAAAAAGCCACAGCGTGTCCTGTCGGGAGGTACACGATGCATTCCAACGCCCGGAACCGGGAAAACCGAGACCTTGGGGCATCTGGGCCGAGCCTGCGGTCAGCGCATCTCACCCGCCCAGGGGCTGGCCCATGTGGAATCGCCGTGCACACGGTGCGGCTGTTCTCCACACAGGCAGCTCAGTGGGAACCGTGCGGGCCTCGCACCTTCCCTGGGGCCTCACTGGTCAGGACAACCCTGTCCTCAGGCCGCTTTGAACCCGTCCCCCAGCGAGGCGGTCTGGCCCCTGGGTTGTGCGGAAGGGGCTGCCGGGCGCTGAGCCCGAGGACGTCCACCTGCTCCTCCGGATGGTGTTGCTGGTTCTGACCCACTGGAGGAGTCTCGGGCGGGAGCACTGCTGGCCGGTCCTCACAGGCCGCCAGGGGGCGCGGGGCACTTGGCCTGCTGTGGGTGGCTGCAGGTTTCGCCCTTACTCTCGAGCTGCCCCCAGCAGTTGTTAATTGCCCTGCGCGAGCAGCGTTGGTGTGAATGTCCTGCTCTCCAGCCCCCTGCGCTGAGCAGCCGGGCTGGCAGGTGAGATGCCCGATGCTCCTGGGCTGATGAGCAGAACCGGAAGCCCGGGGCGGGCTGGAGCAGGGCGGAGGATGCCATGGACGCCCCTGGCCCTCCAGGGAGGGATCCCGGACGCAGGAGGAGAGCCCTGACCACTCCTTCCCAGCTCCTGTCTAGGGTGGGCTGTGGGGAGGGGCCCTGGGCCTGTCCCTCCCTCTGTGGGCTCCTTCACACCTGGCGGCCGAGGGTCACAGAGCCAAGGACTGACACAGACAGAGCTCACTGCCTGCGTCCAGATCGGCGGCCTCCAGTTCCAGCCCCCACGCGGCCCAGCTCTTCAGGTTGGGAGCAGCCACCTGGCCCCGGGGGCCTCAGGCTCTGTGTCCCCTTCAGGGCTGGCAGTGCCCAGGGCAGCTGCCATCTCCATCCTAACCCTGCCAGGGACAGGGCACAGGGGAGGAGGACAGGAAGGAGGAGGGACACACGTGCAAGCTCAGACCCTGCACGCATTCAAACACATGCACACACTCATGCACACACTCATCTTATTACATGCACACGAGTGCACACAGTCACCACCCACAAGTACAGTGTGCACTGCACAGTGCATACATGACAAACACATGCACGCACAGCTGTACGCCCACTCACACACATGCATACTCACAGGCACATGCACATCTGTGCCCCCTCCCAGAGCAGAGCCGCCATGCTCGCTGCAGGTGGAGTAGCAGCTCCCGGGGTCCTGGGCCTCGAGGGCGGCTGCTGGACGTCCGTCTTCCGTGTGGTCGCTCGGTTGGCCTGGACGTTCAGGTTGGGGGGCGCAGACAGGGGCCAGATACTCTCCAGTGGCCCAGGTGGCCCGAGGGCATGATGGGAGAGCCACAATGTGGTCAGAGTGGCGTCCTGGAGTTTCCCGCGTGGGCAGGCACAGGGAAAGTGCTCAAAGGCCCAGGGCGCTGTTCGGGGCTGGGGGCCTGGAGTCGCAGGCTGGGGAGTGTCTTCCTTCAGCCAGACAGAAAGCCTGGCAGCAGGGAGGAGCCAGTGGGCTGCCAGCCACAGGTGGGGACCAGAGCAGTGTCCAGCTGGTCAGTGAGGTCAGAGCCTCACAGCCCCAGCTCAGCCAGCGGTGGGAGGGTGCTGGGCCCCCACAAGGCCCCAAACTGGGCGGCCCGGAACGAAAGAGCCTCTGCCCACCCTGGTGCTGCCGGCACCCGTGCTCCGCCCCGGCCCCAGCCTCTGCCCCCATTGTCTCCGGGTCCAGAGTTCCCCCTTCCCAGAGACACCCGTCGCTGGGTCTGGGGCCAGCGTGGGAGCCCTCTTAGCTCGTCCACCTCTGGGAACAGTTTCCACACAAGGTCACGTCCACAGGTTGGGGCATGGAATCTGGGGGGACCCTATTCGACCCTGCACCCCAGCTCCACCTGCGGAGGCCTCCCGGCCCCACCTCTGCCCCTGCCCAGACACCTCTGCTCACGGCCCAGAGGCCGAGGTCCTGAGGGACTCTGTGTGTGCTTCATTCCCGCCCTGCCCTTCCGACCCCTGCAACCTGAGCGGCAGCTGTGACCCCACACTCTGCCCACTGCTCACTTCCGGCCCTGCCCCGGGAAGCCATGGCGTCGGATGCCCACACAGGCTGAGATGGCCTTGGGCCCCCATCCAGAAAGTCTTCTAGCTGAGGCCACAAGCGCCCAGCCTTGACCGGAAGCCACTGGCTCCTCTGCCTCCCACTGGGCCATGGTTCTGCCTCCGTCAGTGCCACCTACGCGATGCCACCTGCATGGTCCCATCAACCTCCGCATCCCTGGGTTCTGCATCCGAGGTTCCAACCAACCGTGGACCGGAAGCTTCCAGACAAAGCTGTCTGTGCAGAGCTGAGCAGACTGTTCTCTTGTCTTACTTCCCAACAATGCCGCAGAACGCTTTGTGGTGTCCCGTGTCCTGGGTAACCTAGAGGTGACTGAAGCACAGGGAGGTCACGCTCAGGTTATGTGGTTGTACACGCTGTGTCATTTTATGTCGGGGACTTGCACACGCGTGGATCTGCCACCCCAAGGCCTCCTAGACCTGCTCCCCGGGACCGGAGTGGCTCCTGAACTTTGGGCCCCGGGCCTCACCTTGAGGCAGCCCCCAGGGCCTGTGCTGGGTGGGACAGGGCGCAGAGCCCTGGAAGCGGCTTGGGAAGCTGCATCCGGAGCAGCATGAGGCAAGGACAGGGCCTCCCTCCTCCATGTCCCCGGGTCACCCGCGTTTCAGCCAAGAAGGTGACTCGGGGGCGTCCATAAAGTCGGACAGAGCAGGCGCTCGGGGTGCAGCTGTCTGCCGGTCACTCTGCCGGCCTCTTTCTGCACAGTGGCCTCTGTGCTCTGGAGGTGGCCCCCAGGAAACCAGGCATCGCCGTGTGGAGCTGGCCGGCCTCGGGGACCCTCCTGGTGGAGGGGAGGAAGGCCCTTCCCAAAGCGGCTCAGGAGGCCGCACTGTCCCCCACGCCCTTCGCCACGAGAGGACACAGCAAGAAGGACCTCGAAGAGCCGCCTGGGTCTTGGGCTTCAGCCTGGGGCTGAGAAGTGCAGCTCTGCAGCTCTGCGTCGCCGTCCCCAGTGTCCTCAGCAGCTCACACCCTGGGAGAGGGGGCGCGAATTTCCTTGGCTCTTACTTGTGTGACTCTGCAGATCATGACACTTGTCACCATCACCATGTCTAGTGCCCGGCTCAGGGCAGTAAGCACATTCCCACGGCGCCGTCCAGGGCTTCCTCATCCGCTCCAGCTCCCTGGACTCCGGACCCTGGCTGGCGCCTGCCCGGGGCTCCTTGTGTTTCTGCAAACCTGACTTCTCGGGGACCTCAGCAAGACTTGCCATTGGCAGCGGCTGCAGTGCGCCCCTTCCCCCTGCTGGGGACACCGGGTCCCCCTGCCAGCACTGGGGGGCTCTCACGACAGGCAGAGTGACGTCACAAGGAGCCCCCTGTCCAGGTCGGGGCAGCTCCGATCCTGGCACTGGGGCCCCGGTCCCAGTCCGTGGTCTCCTCCTCCTGGCTCTCGCCAGCCCCATGAGCCTGAGCCGAGCATGCTGGGGTCAGGGGTGTGGGTGGATTTGCTCCCCAGTGCTGGGCAGGCACTGGCCCCGGGGTGCGGCGGGCTCTGCCTGTGTCCAGCCAGGTCTTGGCTGGTGTGGGATGATGGGCCAGACCGGGAGTGACTTGGGGATCCTGAGATCCTGCTGGGATCTGGGGAGCTGGGCGGGTGGGCTGTGAACCCACAGGGGCCCTGATCAAATGGCCACAGAGGAACAGGGCATGAGGAGCCCAGAGGGGCACAGCTGGCCCGGGGGCCACCCAGCCCAGAGGCTTTAAACCCACTCACTTGGGGACAGAAAGGGGTCGTTCCCATGACACTGACGCTGACACCAGTGTATCAGACCCAGGGTCCAGCTGCCCGGGGTGGGCCTGGGATGGGTCCTGGACTCCCCACAACCACACACTGGCTCCTCTCTGCACTGGCTGCGGCTCCTTGTGGCTTCTGGGTTGCTCTGGCCAGGCTGTGGTCCCACCTCCCCGGGATCTGGCGTCTGGGCCGACACGGGACCTCTGTGCACCTCCGGGCTCTTCCTGTCCCTTGCGGGCCTCTGTCTCCCCTGCTGGTCAGTGCTGCTGCCCTGTGTCCCTCCCTGGTCTCCACCCCAGCAAGGCCGCCCCGCCCTGGGTCCCTCTCTGCCCTCCGGCTTCGAGCTGCCCTGAGGACGGCTGACCTCGTCTGCCCCACTCAGGGATCGCAGCCGAGCCCCACTGGGGTCGGCGTCTACACAGCCCGTCACGGGTTCTGACCCGCTTTCCCTTCGTCCATGGCGGGACGACCGCCCACACCTGTCACTCCCGGCCCCCAGGCAGACGGCACGGCACCGGCACTCTGGGCCGGACCATTGCAGTATCGTCCCAGCTGCTCCTCTGCTTCTGTGCTCCTCACGACCTGTCCTCGGTGAGCACGGGGCCGACCCTTTAAGAGTGCCTCACCCTCACTCTGTCAAGGCCTCCAGGGCCCCATGCCCCTCAGAGGAGAGCCTGGGGTCCTTGTAACACCCTCAGCCCCACAGCGGGCCCTGCCCTCCCGGGCCCGAGTCTCTGCCCGTCCTCCCCATACCTTCCCGGCACTCGACGTCCCTCCCCCGGGCGCCTCTCCCGCCGGCCGTTCGTGCCTCACTTCCCCCACTATCTTCAGTTCTCTGAGCAAATGCCGCCTTGGTGAGGCTGACCGCACCCTTCCATCTAAAACACAAACACCCCTTGTCCCCCCAGCCACTGTCCGACCTGTTCCATTTGCTTTTCCCCCATAGCCCTTATGACCTTTAATAAAAATGATATATAATTATATGAATCAGCGATCAATCAGGAGCGAGAACCACACAATACCTTGAACAGGGGGAGTTTGTCTGGTGAACAATGAACAATGCAAGTGTAAGGAGAACTGTAAAGAACGATTCAGGGTCACAGGAGAGCTAATAAGGAAGAAATAATTGGGGAGGGAGGGTCCCTTGAACAAGGCTGGCTCAGACCTCATGGGAGAAGGTGTGGTTGTAGCCCAGGTTGGGGGACCTTTTCCAGGGCCAGTGCTGGTCATGGCCAGGGCAGGGGCAGCAGCTAGCGAAAGGCCGGCCAGCCAGGCAAGCAGGAAGTCTCTCTGCTCTCCCATGGGCAGGTGAACTGGGGCTGGGGAGCACTCGTGATTCTTCGGAATCCATTTGTGGGATGCCCTGGGCCTCCACAGGAAGCCCTCCCTGGGGCCTACTGAGGTCTGTAAGTGAGAGCCCCAGATGCCCCCTCTGGTGCCACTTCCCCTGGTCCAGCTGGGGGTGGGGAATGGAAGCTTTCTGGAAGGAGGGAAGGGGGCTCATCCTCCGGAGCCTCTATCCATGAGGCTTAGCATCATGCCAGGTGCAGAAGAGTAAATGCCCGCTGGATCCAGCTCCGTTATCACTGAGCAGGCAATGGAGGGTGTGTGTTTGGTGTTGCATTTATAATTTGAAAGTTCATTTTTAGAATGTGGGCACACAACTGATCTTTGTATATTTATCTTGCATCCTACTCTCTTGCTGAGCTCATGTATCAGTTGTTTCTTTTTTTTCTTTTTTGTTTTGCTGCTAGATTCCTTGGGATTTTACATACAGATAATCATGTCATCTGCAAACAAAGTTTTATTTCCTCTTCCCTGATCTGTATCTTTCATTTCTTTCTTTTTTAACCATGAAGGCACTGACTGGACCTTTCTGCAGTACCTTAAATACAAGCCTTGCGAGTGGACATCCTTGCCTTATTTGGGGTATTAGAAAGGGGAACATTCAATCTCCCACCGTTAATAATGATAAGGTTAGCTGTAGGGTTTTTGTAGACCTTCTTTACCAACATAAGAGAATTCCTCTCTATTCTCTTTTCTTAGAGTTGTTATCCAGAATAGTGTTGAGTTTTGTTGAATGGCTTTTCTGCATTGAGTGATGTGAACATGCAATTTTCTTCTTAACTTGTTTATATGATTGCTGATGTTGTTTCGGGTACTGGGGATGGAACTCTGGACCTTGTGTTTTCAAGGCAGGCAGCAGAACCACTGAGCTAAATCCTTGGCTCTTGTTTATGTGATTGACTTTAAAATCAAACCTACCTTCAGGTCGGCAGCTTCTTTCTCAGAGCGCCTTCCACCCTGGGGAGAGCGCTGGGTTGAGCACCCTCAGGACACCAGGCGTCTACAGTGCCTGGGGTCAAAGCTGACAGGGAGGGGAAGGCTTTGGGTGTCAGGGCCATAGGATGACGTTAAGGGAGCGGCCGGGGCATTTGTGGCAGCTGCATTGGCCCCTGGCCCTGAGTCCCAGCCTGGGTTGGGCAGAAGGGACCAGCGTCCGGGAGCCCAGCGGTGCAGGGTGCGGGGCTCCACGTGTCCCCAGCAGCCCGATGACCAGCAGCAGAGCTGCTCGCCGTGGGAGACAGCCGGCCGTGCCCAGAGGCCAGGTCTGGCTGCGCCTTCCCAGGACAAACACTCCCAACTGACACACGGCCGGCGTGCTTCCTGCAGCCAGGAAGAGCTGCACCTCAGAGTCGGTGCCCTGCACTAGGAGCCCGGATGGTGCTGAGGAGGTGGCTAGGGGCGCGGAGAGGGAAAATGGAACCAGGTGCCCTCGTGGGAAGCGCTCTAGAGAGAGCACCGCCTCCGACCAGTGACGCAGGTGACGGCTGTGGCCCCTCTGGTGGGCTGGGTGCGGGCAGGCGTGGGGCGGCACTGTGGCCTTCATCTCCGGTGGCATCAAGTTGTGATTCATCGGATCCCAACAATAACAGCACCGTGCTCGTGACGGATGGGGACTTGGCCGGGAGGGACGGGCGGGAGGGGTGTGGTCAGTGCCCAGTGCAGGCGGCCCTGGCCACAGGGGACATAAAGGGCACCCGGAGCGGAGCCGGTGCAGCCTCGTCCAGGCTCCAGGACCTGCTCGGCCGCGGACGCAGCGCTGGAGATGAAGACCCTGCTCCTGACCCCCGTGCTGCTCGCCCTGGTGGCTGCCCTGCGGGCCAAGGACGCCCTGTCCCTCCAGCCAGAGGAGCCGGATGTGAGGCCAGGGTGGCAGACAGAACTGGGGCTGTTTTGGGGGGGCTGTCTAAGGCCGGGTTCTGACCCCGCACTCCCGGTCCGGAGGGTCAGAGATTGGGGGATTCGGCAGACACGGCCCCTCCTGGGCCAGTCCTGGAGCAGGGAGCAGGTTTGGGTCAGGGGTCCAGTGGAAATGACACCTGGAACCGGCAGACCCAACAGGGCAGGAGCCCCCGGGATGAGGACTCACCTGGGCCTGGGCCCTCGTCCCTGAGAACAGTGGACCCATGTGGGACAGGCAGCTCTGAGTGTGCTCTGCTAAGTACAGGGGTGGGGCAGATGGGAGGCCAGCCGGGCTCTGGGGTGCAGCCAGGGCTCCAGCAGAGGTCGGGGCTGCAGGCTGGGCGCCCAGCCTTGGGGTGGGGCATCTGGCCTGGGCCACACTGGGCTCAGGGCTCGGCTGCTCCTGCTCCAGATCACAGGGACCCGGTACATGAAGGCCATCGTGACCAACGGGAACCTGACCCACGGGCCCAGGCAGGCCTTCCCCGTGACGGTGATGGCCTGGGAAGGTGTGAACTTCGAAACCAGGATCACCTTCATGTGGGTGGCCCTGAGGACCCTCGGCCGCGTGCTCTCCTGCTGTCCCATCCACAGTTTGGATGTTGGTGACAAAAGTCCCCTGACATTGAAGGGACACGGTCCCAGCCTCGTCCCACAGCTGGGGCAGGGTGGAAAGGGGTTTTCAGGGTCACCTGGCCGGAGCTGCTCAGGTGAGGCCTGAGACCAGCTGCCCCTGCATCTCCTGATGTCCAGGTGGAGGGGCGGCTGCTACAAGGACAGACTGCACCTCCAGAAAACCACGGAGCCCGGCAAGTACACATGTGAGTGCTGCCCGCTGTGCCTGAGCCCCAAGTGTCCCTCGGGAGCGGCAGCCTCCCCTTCCAGGGGTCTTGTGGCCCTGACACCAGACTCCAGGTGTCACAGCCTTGTCCAGAGCTGGGAGTGACCGGGCCACAGCTCCCTCTGGGCGGCCCTGTTGACCCAAGGAGGAAACTGAGAGCTCAGGACCCAGGAAGCGGGCCGGGCCAAGCTCCAGCCTCCAGGTCCCGGCCTCCACGTCTGGAACCCACAGCTGGGTTGGCTCCTTCCTGGGGACACAGCAGGACCTGGCCTCCAGCTGGCAGGGGCCTGGGTGACACTGACACGTCCCGACTTCCCCTGATGTGGTCTCCAGCGCTTCCTCAGGGGAGGATGACGCTAAAGGGCGCTTCCCTCTCTGCTCTAGTTTGGAACCACACCCACATACACACAGAGGAGCTGGCTGTGAAGGACCACTCCGCCTGCTACGCTGAGCACCAGCTCCCCCTTGGGGAGACCATGCACGTGGGATACCTCATGGGTGAGGACCCTGGCGACCCCAGCCCAGGGCCCGCTGTCTCACTCTGGAGAAGCTGAGTCCTGGCCCTGGGGACTCAGACACCCCCTGGGCCGCCCTCCAGGGTCTGGGCACAGTGTCTGCGGGCGGAGTGCGAACTCCGACTGGGAAGGGGTGGCAGGGCAGGGATGCCAGGGACGGGGCAGACCCGGCCCTCGGGGGCCTGACCTCTCGGGAGGGCGCTGCAGCCACGGACGCTGGCAAGTGCTGCTTCCTGGGCACTCAGACGCTGGACAGGCTAGCTGGAAGGGAGTGGCCTTCGGGTCCTCCCTGGGGGACAGGGCCCCTCCAGGACACGGGGCCCTTTCTGGCCAGCGTGTGACCCTGCAGGACTGCTCAGGAGCCCCTCTGCCCCAGGGTCGCACGGTGCCAGGGCCCCAGGGACCTGGTCAGCTGGGCGGTGGCTGCCACCTCCTCCCTCCCTGTCCCCCTCAGAGCCCCTGGTCCCCTCCCAGGTCCTGCTTCCCCTCACCTGGCCCCTGTCCCACAGGGAGGACCCCGGAGGAAAACCCTGAGGCCCTGGAGGAGTTTAGGAAATTCGTGCAGCGCAAGCGACTCCCGCAGGAGAAAATCGTCATCCCTGAGCAGAGGGGTGAGTGGTGGCTCTGACCACGTCTCTCTCATGTCCCCTCTGCATCTCCCGTGTCCCTCTGTGTCCCCATCCATGTCCCTCTGTGTCCCCATGTCCATTTGTGTCCCCGTGTCCCTCTGTGTCCCTATGTCCATTTGTGTCTCTGTGTCCATCTCTGTCCATGTTCCTCTGTGTCCCAGTCTTCTCCATGTCCCTTGTATCTGTGTCCTCGAGTATCTTTGTGTCCCTCCATGTCCCTCTGTCCCCTCACAGGAACACCAGGGCTCTGCTTCAAGCCTTGGTCACGAAGGCTCTAAGTTCTGGTTGTAACGGGGTCTGGGTGCTCCACCAGGCTGCCTTTTGGCTCCTGGATTCTCTTGGTTCCTACAGAAAGCTGTGTCCCCAAGGGTGACCATGGTAAGTGGCCCCCGGGGAGGATGAATGCTGGACTGAGGAATTCTAGGCTCCATCTCTCTGGCCCCTCCCATCTACTCAGGCAGCAGAGACCCCGCCTGGGCCAGGCAGCAGTGGACACCTGAGGAGTCACTTCGCGTATGATCCAGGGAGCTTAGGAAGTGCTTTCTTACCAACATGGCCCAGCCCTGCTATCCTCAGTCCAGTGCCGCCCCACCCCCCCGCAAGGACACTCGGTGACAGACTGGTCATGGAGGGGCCACCATTGCTCCAACAGCAGGGCCTGACCCGGGCTCCTCTTCCCACGCAGCAGCCACCTGGATCTGCGTCCCCCGGCTCTCCCTCCCCGCCGACCGGACTCGGAACCGACTGCCCCTCCTCCTGCAGCCTCCACCCTGCTGCCGACCCCACCGGGCTCCAAATAAAGAACTTCAGCAGCAGCTGTGGCTCAGCCTGTCTGTGACGGGGCCTCGAGGGGGCTCCCAGGAGCTCTGCCAGGAGGGGGACCCCAGGGGCCCAGCAGCGACAGCCCCTCAGGGCCACTGGTGTTGCCTCCCCCTCCCGGGCAGGAGCGTTTGGGAAGCCACGGGGCAGGCGGGAGGGGGCATCTGCATCAGGGCTGCGGACAGTGCGCCATCCCGGCAGGGCTCCTGCCCCAGGAGGGCCTTAGGGCTCCTGCTAGGCCCCCTCTGTGCAGCCGGCCATGCAGGGGTAGGGGCACCAGGGCTCCATCGTGGCCCTCACCCAGACAGAGCCAGGCCGCAGCCTCCCCAGGACCTCGCTCCCTGCCCCTCCCGTGGTTTTCCCAGGGGCAGGGGCTGCACCTACACGGCCCACAGGGACAGGGTTGCACAGTGTGGGGAGAGGCTCCTGTCCTGGTGGAGCATTTTTTCCAGTTTCTTCTCCAATCAGTTGAGGGTTCTTTTGCTCCATTCAGATGGAAATCACATAACAGCAAAGTGCAGCTCTGCTACCTGTTCTAGACATTTCAGATGAATGGAATCACACAATATGTGGTCCTTTAAGAGGGAGAGGGAGAGGACACATATTACCAATATCATAAAAGAGAGAAATGACATTGGTCTTATTACAGCTTCTACTTAAAAGGACCAAAAGGTGACATTATTAATAACTTTACATCAATACATCTGACCATTTAGACAAAATAAGCAGGGACGTAAACTACCAAGGCTCACTGGAGAAAAGTTAAGTAAGATCTGAGGTTATTTCAGGGAGTGTTACCCACCCTCTGGCTTGGACACGAGGACTTCCAAGGCCTGACAACATGGCCCCACACACCGTGGCCCTCCCTTGTGGCACGGAGCGGACTGGTGAGGGATCACAGGGCAAACCTCAGAAGAGGTGTGTGGAAGGGACCTTATTCTAATTGTATATGAGTTGATACATAGAACCACTGCAAAGCATTCATAGCAGCAGCCTCAGTTTAGAGAAAAGTCCAGAGCTCAGAGGGTGAAGGCAGAAGGTGAGGAGGTGAGTGGGTGCAGACTAGGCTTGGGGAGCAGAGGGATTGCTAGGCTGGGCTGCCCTTCAGAGCTGCTGTGGACACGGGGCCCCTGTGTGCTTGCTCTTTCCCCTCCTCCTGCAGAGCACCCCTGAGGTTCAGTCCTGGCCTTGCATGTTCAGGTGGGGTGATGCTGGTCGGCAGTGCACGTTCTTTGGTGGCTACAGTGGTCTAAGTGTTGATGTCCCCCAGGATTCATAGGTTGGAATTCTAACCCCCAAGGTGATGATGGCGTTCGGAGTGGGGCCTTTCAGAGATGATTGGTTCGTGAAGGTAGAGCCCTCGGGAGCAGGATTTCTGCACTTGGACAAGAGGCCCCAGAAGGCTTCCTGTGCCTTCCACCCCGTGAGGACCCTGGGAGAAGGTGCCGTTTCTAAGAAGCATGAAACAGGCTCTCACTTGTTACAGTGTTGGCCAGAATGATACCTTGGGCTTCCAGCCTCCAGCAGTGTGAGGAATAAATTTCCGTTGCTTATAAATATCCCGGGGTATGGCATTTTGTCACTGCACCTTGAAGACGTTCAGACAGGGGTGTGTGTGAGTTGGTGGGGTGTGTTGATCGGTGGTGGGTGTCCATGAGTGTGTGGCTGGTGGTGAGCGTGTGCTGTGTAATTGGTGGTTAGTTAGTGTCTGTTGGCTGGCTGCGGGTGATATTCAATGTTGATGTATGTCAGTTGGTGGTGGGAGTTAACTGGTGGTGTACACTGATTGGTGATGCTGTGTGTCTACTATGGTTTAGATCTAAAGCATTCCTCCAAAGTCTCATGTATTCAGAAGTGAAGGTGTTGAATGGTGACTAGATCATGGGGCACTATAGTCATCAATGGATCAGTCCACTGATGAGTTCATGGCTGAATTGGTGTTAGGAGGTGAGGTCTCTTCCAGTCTCCTTTGTCCCTGAGTCCAAGACCCTTTTGAGTTGCTGATAGTCAACAATGGAAGGAGTGCTTAGGCTGATTTTCCGAGGATCCCTCAAAGTTTGCAGAGGGGATCCACACCTTGTCCCTAGCTCTTGACCTTTCCTAGCGTGCCTTACAATTTGTTTTACCCACATGTCACATACCCGGTGAAAAACAAAATCTTAAGGAAGCCAGATGTCAGGTGAGAGATCGGCTCTTGGGCAGCAGGCTGTACAGCCTATACTGGGTCCGACTGGGTAACAGAGTTGGGAAGGACACCTTTCCAGGGATTTCCAGTGAGGGAACCGAAGTTCCTGGCAACCTGCAAGGAATTAACAAGAGCCCATGGGGAGATGTCTTAGCTGATTGGTAAATTTACTTTGGATTCCAATGTGAGCTGATAGTTTTGTTTGTTTGGCATGCTTATAACATTTCTTGAGAAACAGCATTGGGATAATTCTTAAACTATAAATATGAGACTAACTTACTCTTCTGTTTTCTGCTTGTTCTAGGATAATTTTGTTATTCAAACTTTCCTTGGAAGTCTGTTATTCAGCCTGTCCTAATTGGAATGTAAACATCTGTGAGGTAACTCTGAGATCAGAGAAAAAAAAATGTACTAGGAACATTTTAAAATCCAAATAGCTGTGTGGTTATGGAAGGGAACCTGTAAGCAGGACAGAGAAAGAGCTCTAAAGAAGGTTTTAGGTGTGAAGATGTATTTTCAGTAAGGAAAAGTTTTGTATGATAAGATTCTTTTCTACCAGGATGAGAAAGAAAGAAAAAAAGAAAGAGAGAGAGAGACAGAGAAAGAAAGAGAGAAACAGAGAGAGAGAGAGAGACAGACAGAGAGAGACAGAGAGAGACAGAGAGAGAACCAAGAAGCCTGGTTAAGTTAAAAAAAGTTTGTAGAGAATGGGATTTATGAAAGGAAATTTGTATGGAGAAGGAAAAGAAAAGATGGGGGAAAAACTGGAAAGTTGAAGTAAGTTGCATAAAATTCCAAATAAGCCAAAAAATTTCGTGGAAGATGAGGCTTATGGAAGGAAATTTGTATGTTTGGCTGTTGTAGGTTTATACTCTTGCTAGTTTTGCTAGGCCTAGGAACGATTCCTTCTAAACCTCTTTTTTGCTAAAATGTGGCTAAAGGGGCTATGACATGGATTTCAGTCATCAATCGCTCCCCTCCAACATGGGACCAGATAAGACCAATAACTGGACAAGCTTTCCAGTGACAAGGGACAGTGGAAGCAATGATTGATCGGCAATCCTTCAGAGAAACTCTCACAAGGGCAAGAGGGGAACATCAGCAAGAGAGTCATGAGTATCATGGTGGAGTCACCTGTGTCAGCCCAGCCAAAAGGTAAATAGAGCTGCGAGGTCATAAAGGAAGGGTTCTTATACATAAATTCACAAAGGACTCTGCCAGAATCAGAAATTAGTTCTGAGTCAATTAAACCTAATCTATCAGACCTGTCACAGGAAAATCCAGATCTTGAGGCATTCACAGGTGAAGAAAACCAAGCTTATCCTAGGGGTGGAGGTGCTTCTGGGGCACCCTGCACACCAGTCAGGAATCCACCTGAGTGTAAACTGTAAAGGCCATGGTGTGCA